GTGGGTGCGCGTGCGTGTGTGTGTGTACACCTTCCAACAAGTCTGCTAATTGTGGATGAACTACTCCAGGCTGCTCTCCCCTTTCTGGATGGCCTTTTCTCTTTAAAAGCACGCTGCTTTAAAGGATGCAAAGAAAAGGCCTCCCAACATAACAGACGGCCTACGGCTACCCTAGAACGAATTCTATCCCTAAGCAAACAGACTTGGCTTGCATATTTACAAACCTTTTCCATCGGGACTGTTGAAGGCTCAGGTCATACAGAGGAATCAACCAGAGAACACCCAGTCATACGTTAATATTTATCCACCTCCCTCTGTTCTTCTCCTGGAACAGGCAAGTGCACAGAGATAAGACCTCCAGGGGCCAGGACTGGCGCTGGCAGAAAGCATCTCTGGGCAGCAGCTTGCATCTTGCTTCCAAGGTGGGCCAAACGTACGTGACTCTTCACTTCTCTTAATTTTTTGATATTATTGGCCCAAAAGTCTGAGCAGTATCAGGTGGCTGGATCGAACCACTATTTAAATATCCCACCATATTCTGGGCCTAATGTCACCCAGGGACATTGCGGGAGTTTAGAAGGCTGGCTCAGCGCTCAAAATGTGGTGTTGAAAGAGAGCGTTGGGGTTCTAGAACCCAAATGACTGGGTTCTAGACCAAACCAAGCCTAAACTTCCTCTAGAAGCTAAAATGACTAACTGAGGTTACTGTACTTTGGGCACATTATGACAAGTCAAAGAGTCACTTGAAAAGGCAATAATGACAGGAAAAGAGGAAGACCAAACAAGAGGTAGGTTGAGCAAAACTAAGAACAGTGAAGAAAAAGGTTTGTTTGAAATATCACCCTGGAGAACAACTTTGCAAATTGCCTGGACTGCCAAAAAAACAAACTAGTGGGTCCTTGATCAAATCAAGCCTAAACTATCTCCGGAGGCAAATACGTTGAAATTGAGGCTTGTCCCACTTTGGGCACATCAGGGCAGAATTCTCAAGAGAAGACAATAATGCTAGGAAAGGAAATGAGGAAGACCAAGCACAAAATGGATTGACTCCCTAAAGGAAGCGACAGCCTTAAGTTTTACAAAAGCTGAGCAGGGCTCAGAATAGTGCTTCAGCACTAATGGGGCGGGGTATAGAAAAGGAAAATAGTAGATAAATAACAAATAAATCCAGCCTTACTCTTACTTCCTCTGCAAGGGGATTTTTAAAGAGACGGTTGTATTTCGTTGTTTTACTGGTGCTTTTAATATTGCTCTTATTTATGAGTTTTATTATAAAGGAAGGAAGGAAGGAAGGAAGGGAGGAAGGAAGGAAGGAAGGAAGGGAGGAAGGACGGAAAAGAAAGAAAGAAAGAGGAAGGAAGGAAGGAAGGAAGGGAGGAAGGACGGAAAAGAAAGAAAGAAAGAGGAAGGAAGGAAAAGAAAGAAAGGGAAAGGAAAGAAGGAGGAAAAAGAAAAAAGAGGAAGGAAGTTGGACAGAGTCTTTAAAAAGGATTAAATCTCTACAGGTGACTTCCTCGTCCATAGTCAGCATTCCAGGCTGCATTAGCCCCGTACTAAGCGCTCCCTTCGTTCACTTATGAAAACCAACACGTGGGAAAGGCTTTAAAGAAAAGTGGTGCCTCCGAAACGCTTTCACGGTCCCCGGCCGGGCGCACGGGAAGCGGGGACGGTCCCTTTCGCAGCTGCATCTTCCGTGTCCCGCCTGAGACTCTTACACGCCAAGATCTTAACGGGGCCGAAAGACCCGCGTGCCGAAGAGAAGCCGCTCTCTCCTCTTTCCACCACCCCGGATCTGCCTCCAACCGAGGGGGAAGCGGGCCGTCCAGGGCGAGGGCGCGCCAGGCCAAGGCGATCGCCCGCCCAGGCGCGCGTTCCCACGAGCGGGGAGGGGGCCCCACGTCGTCATCCCCGAAGGCCGCCCTGAGCCCATCGCCATCCCCATCGGTCATTCTTCTGCCCCCCCCTCCAAATCTCCAGCGCTTTCAAGGGAGAGCAGGAGGTGCGCCCGGGCGGCCTCTTTCCCCCTCCGCCTGCCAAATCCCTCGCGCCAAGCCGGCGGGGCCT